CTCGTTCCATAAGAGGAGACATAGTTCTGCTGGATGTTGTCAACCTTGATCCGTAGTGAGTCAGAGAACAGAGCTTGGCTTTCTGTCTGCTAGACCTGTCCGCCATTTTAGTTTCCCACAATGCTCTAGAGCAGTGGTCACCAACCTTGGGCCTCCGGGTGTTCTTGGACTACAACTCCCAGAAGCCTTCACCACCACCTCTGCTGGCCAAGATTTCTGGGAGTTGAAGTCCAAGAACATCTGGAGGTCCAAGGTTCGGGACCACTGGAATACATTCTCAAGGGCATTGTAGGTAATGAAAATAGCTAGCCAGCCCTCTCCTGCTCTGCTGCTTTCAGGTAAACCCAGAGATAGCAACCTGGGGTGTCTGCGGATCCTGCCAAGATGTGAGGACACCTACAGTTTTCCTAGGGTGCTTGAGGCTACTGCCAGGCCTGGCTACCTACCAATGAAAATTTGGCAGTGTGTGAAACACAGATAAAGATTCTTGGTTGTGACCATTTATGGCGCTGCCTCCCATGGGGAGTCAGTCGGGTTCTACCCGTCAAGCTTACTGGGGCACTCGAGACCCACTTGTTCCACATGGCCTTTGATCTTTAAAAATGATTTTAAAATTGAGTCTTGGATAATTTAAAAGCCATTCTAGCAACCACTGGCTTTTTTTAAAAAAATGGCTATAAAGCATTACATTTAACCAGCCTTTTAAAATAACATTTTTTTAAAATCAATTTTTAGTGTACATTGCTTTGGGAGTCCAGGCACACAGGATAAACACATTTTTTTTTAATGAGACAAAAATGAAATTAATTTGTCCACCTCGTTTAGCACTGTCCATTAGGGCTGTCAGCAGTCGACCAAGATCAATTCCTGCAGGGCTTGGAGCCATTAACTCACTCTTCCCCAGCCGGTGGCATTCTCACATCTGTCAGAATACAAATCCTATCATGCACAGTCCACACCTCCAACATTCTGGATCTTGTCAGCTTGAGGAAATGCAGAAAATCTCATGGCCTAAATTCTGATACATGCCTTCTTCGTGTGATGCAATATTGTAGTTCGGTAAGATCCCTCTTTTCATAGCAATAAGCATAAGCAGGTGGCAGCCACGGTCCATTTCAAGGTGTGTGTGCGGTATGTGTGAATTCTACCAGGATGATAAGACATGCTGGCTTACTGTCACTCCGGAACTAAGCTGCTAAGGGTGGGATAGGGGTGTGAGGTTCAACAGTATCCTCCGCCCTTCCCTCCTGTTCCACCCGTCGCTTTTGATAAGTGTCAAATCAAGGTTCTACCGAATCTGTCAAGGTCACTTTGAACATGTCATACTCCACTGAGCATCTTCGCTCCACTTCGTTTGCAATTTTCTCCCTTTCGTGTTTGCTTATTTTGATTTTAAGTAGCTGAGCGCACACGGGGAACCGCTGCCTGCCCATCCGACTCGAGGAGAGGCACAAGGTTTAGCGGGAGAAGCGGATGAGGAGCGAGGAGGCTAATGGGTGGGTTTATTCTGCAAAGCGTTTGTTGTATCTTCCGGGCTTCGTAAACGAACGTGGGGGTCATCGGGTCGTCAGTTGGCGCCTCTGATTACCACAAAAGACAGATCAGAAAAACCAAGTTTTTGCACACACGATAGAAAACCACTTTTTGCACACACGATAGAAGCTCTGAGACTTGGGAAAACTCTTTTCTTGGATGACAACTCCCATCATCCTGCACCATCTTGCATGTTAGACCATAAGGGCAGCTATTCCTGTCCGGGTCCAAATATATTCCATGCTCTCTCATCTACAGAAACCCAAATCTGAGTAATGTGCCCTTGAACATTTTCCTCCTTGGAGAGAGATGAGAAGTATGTATATAGCCTTATTTCCAAGAAAATGTGCCCTCAAGTTCCTTTTAACTCATGGCAAACCTAGTAAGTTTTTCAAGATATCTGAGATGTCCTTGACCCCAATGGAGGCCCGGAGGGAAAGAACAAGAAACC